CAAACCCAGGGCCTGTGCATGCTAGACAAACACTATACCATAGAGCTGCAATCTAGCCCAAAGAAAACCTCACATGTTAGAGAAATTGTTCACCTTTTCATCCAAGGAACAGCCAGAGGTTGGAAACAGCAAAGATTCCTACATAAATTTGGGGTTAAAAAGCATGGATGATGATTTTACTATTTATCTCATACTCACTTGGTGCCTTCCACTGATAAAAGTCAGTCATTGTAGCCTAACAACCATGCTGCCAAATTTTTCATAAGCTGTGAAACTGATCTCAGCTAAATACTGAAAATACATTCTATAAAATACAGACTCTACCTTCAAGGAGGTTACATAAAGTACTTTTAGTCTGTGTTTTGCACTTAAAGATAATTACTAAAGTATGTCCATATTTAAATGTTCATTTAACACCAGAGTTTTGATTAATTTCTGCATGTTATAAAAATTGTTTGAAGCTGAGTGTGGTGGCACACACCTGTAATCCCAGCACTCTGGAGACGGAGGCAAGAGGATTGCCACAAGTTTGAGGCTGACCCAGGTTATACAGTGAGTTCAAGATCAGCTTGAACTGCATAGTGAGACCTTGTCTCAAAACCCCCCCAAGAATTCAAAAAACAAAAAAATCCCAAAAACTGACCCAAAAGTTAAATGATTTCATCTGAAACTAATATAAGCCTCATAACTGTGTTAATTCAGCAACTAGTCACTGATCACCTGTTCTGTACCAAGCACACCAAGGATGCAGCAAAGACCAGGACACTTCCTCCTCTCTTCCCCAAGAAGCACATGACAGTGTGTGAGGTGGAGGACACAGGGATACGTCACAGTCCTGGAAGCCAGGGTGCTACAGTGCCAGTGGCCTTGCCATGTGGGAGGCCAATATGTCATTCTCATTAGAAGAGGAATGAAGCTGTGACTGCTTGCTCATGGAAGAGAAGTGTCATGAAGAATTGTGGTAAGAAGCCAAAATAAACCTCTCCTTAAAAAAAAAGATTAACGGTAAGAGATGAAAGAGGTAGGATTTAAATAGACGAAATGACCGGGTGTCTTAGAGAAGGAGATTAGAGGAGCAGAAGGCAGAGTAAGAGTCGGTACTTATTTTTGGCCTCATCTGTCATACCAGAATTTGTCATATCTGGGAAACACAGACAGTTTTAAAGAAGCATTAATAAAAACCCGGAGTAGGAGGGGCAGCATGAAGGATGAGATGGTTTCCAGAGAAATGAGGTCAGGGAGGAAAGTTGGAGATGATGTCGGATGGGGGGGGGGTGCTGCCAAGATTTAGAAATTAATGCTCAGCTAGAGTCAACAAATATTTACTGATGGTGCGGAACAGCAAGCTGAGTTGTGAGTAAGTTAAAATCATTGGCCACAGAGGCGCCATGATATTCTGAGATCCTGGGTTTCTTTGACCTTTCAGATGCACCGCACTAACCGGAACCATTTCAGTTTTATTGCTGTCCAACTGAGATCTGCTGATGATCAAAGGTACCCAAAATAAGAAAAGAAACAACCTGGCTTAAAATCCACAAATCAGAGCACTTCTTTCTTGGCTTGTTCTCAACACAAACAATTCACTGCCAGTTTAGGAAGATACAATTTTTAGTAAATATAAACATCTTAAAGGAGGACATCCTTGTATTTCACAAAGTTCTAAGAATCAACAGCAAAGGAACATTGCTAGCTGGAAATGTTATATGACAAGGAATACAAATGCTGAAATATTACAGAGAAATACAGACTAATGGGTTTATCAAAGAGAGCCTGCTTTCTGTTCTTTCTTTTCTTTTCTTTTTTTCCAGTTTTTTCTAGACAGGGTTTAGCTAAGTAGTTCAGGCTGGCCTTGCAGTCACTATGTAGCCCAGGATCATTTATGATGATCCTCCTGTTTCAGCCTCCTGAGTGCTGGGATCACCAGCATGAGTCGTCACCCCTGGCCAAGCCAATTCTTGTAAGTTTGAATTCTGGGGAGGAAATTGTTTATAGCCAGTAATATTCACCATCCAAGGTCTTCTGACTTGTTTTCATGCTTGACACAATGTGTAATGCTGGATCACAGGTATGTTGTGGAATAGTTACTATTCTTTATTTGCTTAGAACTAAAATAGGACAAGAGAAGCCAGTTTTCTGGTCCTAAAAGTTTCCAAAGCAAAATAAAACAAAAACAGATGCACGATCTTCAGAATCAATCATTTATACACTAATATGGGAGAAAACAGATTATTTTAATTCTTGTGTCCCCAAACTGTCTGACTGCCTTCCAGCTGCCCACTGTTCCTATGCTGCCCTAAACTAACACACATCGTCACCCATGGGTGCTACTGCACTTCACACAGTGCAGGACATTTTCATTTCCAATTCGCAAGGCAGCAGTGGACAAAACAATATGACAATATGGCCATTGTTTCATTTCCTAAAACTTCTTCAGAATCAACACCTGCCAACCTAACGTAGGCATTTCATCCCAGAGGGCTCCTTAGTTCCCTGAATTTTCTTTATGTAGCTTGACTTTAAGCATCCATAGAAAGAATGAAGCCTAAGACCAAATCAGTCATGAACTAACTTAACTGTAATAATTCTCAGAACAAAAGCTCCAAGACTGGTGCATAACACACACCAGTTGTGGCAGACTTATGCCACAAGGGCTGCAGTGTGCAAGCAAGTCATTTCCCCACCGTCCCCTCAGCATCACCCCAGTACCCACGCATTCAGGTTTTATGGTTAGTGTGGGCACTTTGCAGTAAATAAGTTGTTTTGAGTTGTAATTTGGGCACTGGGTGAGTCCTTAAAAGGTTTGCCATCATTGGCAAAGACAGTCAGATGCTTTTAGAAACGTGTCCCATTTCTGCTGTTGGCTCCAAAGATAAGCATGATGGAGGGTTGAGAGAATTTTTACAGCACTCAGTTCAGGGAAGTTCGCTTTAATGTATGCTCTCAGCTCAGTTAAGTAAGAGGAAAATCCTACCTTGCCATGAGTTCGACAGTGGATTAACTTGGATTTATCTGAGTAACCAGAAAAGTAAAATCAAAGAGCTTCTGTGCGGAGCCGGTGTCTTTTCTACTGGGGTCTCACTGCTACCTCTGCCTTGTAAATCACAGGTTCCACCCAGCTCTTATTTCACTGCCACTTAGGAGGATTAACAACCACAAGCATGGTGACAGTAGTATCACAGCAGAACAAATCTGTGCTCCACACAGTGACTTTTACGGGGCTTGAAGGTATTTGTTGTCACACAACTGAAAAGGGCTGTGAGTTTCAGGAAGACGAGAGGCAGGCTGCAGACCAGGGCTTTGGTTCTAGTCCCAGCATGAACCGCTGGATGACTGTACTTTGGTTTTTTAGCTAGGAGAGATGGAAGCCTGGGCATTTGCCTCTACAAATAGATGTCTTTTGGAGAAATAATAATATGAAAAGTACTTGGAAGTTTGAATATTCTGCTTTGGCTCAGCCATCTAAAACCAAAATCTGAAGGCTTTAAGTATCAGGTTTTCAAGAGTCCACTTAGACAAGTGGCCCTGTGTGTTAACACACTAATGCATCATTGTACATCCACAGCTTCACGGGAAGCAGGAGGGCACTGGAATTTTGTTTCTAGGAGTCCTTACAGAACAAATTCTGCATTAGTTAGCATATTTTTTTGACTAAGGTTTTGCTGTACTTCAGAATAGATTTCATCAGTTCCCATCTTGGGAAATAAACCAAGAGTTAGATCATTAAAATGTAAACCAACACCTAAAAATAATGCCTTGATCTGGAGACTGAGACAGGGGAATTGTGAGTTCAAGGCCAACGTGGGCTACACAGCTGGCTCAGAGGTGGCCTGAATTCACAGTGAGACTTTCTCTCCAAACAAACAAACAAACAAACCCCACTTGATTATCAAAAGCACAAATGAATGGTAACAGTAAGTCAACACTCAGTCTTCTTTTGTGTGCACAATGCTCACACGCAGATTTCCTTTCTCCTGGAGTGTCAAAACTTCCTAGGAAGCAAGGAGTTGTATGGGGCGGAGCACAGGACGCACAGGTGGCCATTCCCATGATTCAGCTTAGTCCCCTAGGTCTTTCATTAGGCTGAATCATGGGAATGGCCACCTGTTTGACACTAAGATTGAAGGTGTCCAAAGAAGCACAGTGTGGAACCTTCGTGTTCCTTCAAGATTTAATTATTTCAAGGCTCAGATAGGGAAATATCACAAAGATATAACGGAATTTGACTAAACTGTTGCCAGAATGGGCAACAGACTCATCTTTCTTTTTTAATACTGTAATTCTCTCTTATCCATCATACTGTTTTTCTACAGTTTCACTTACTTGTGGTCAATCAGGACCCAAAAATATTAAGTAGAAAATTTCAGAAGTAAACAATTCATAAGTTTAAATAAACTTTTATTATAGCATATCACTATAATCATTTCATTTTATTATTATTGTTAATCTTTTGCTGTGCATACTATTTTTTTATTTTATTTTATTTTTTGTCTTTTTTAAATAGGGCTTCACTATGAAGTTCAGGCTGACTTTTAAATCACTTTGTAGCCCAGGATGGCTTCAAACTCACAGTGATCCTCAGCCTCCTGAGTGGTGGGATTACAAGTGTGCACCACCAGGCCCAGACTTGTGCCTACTTTTAAAATTAAACTTTATCCTAGTATATATTATAGGAAAAATAACCTAAACAGGGTTCAGTGCTATCAAGAGTTTCAGGTATCCAGGGAGGGTCTTGGAAGGTAACCCCTGCGGGGGGGGGGGGCGCTACTGTGTGGTCTATTCAAGCTAAAATGCATATACAAATAAGCTGATTTAACTTCTAATCAAGGACTGAAAAGCCCCAGGGACCAGCTTTCTGCATGAGCTTAGGCTGTATTCCACTACTTTAAGTTGTAGCATAAACTTTACTGTGGTCAGACAACCAAGTATCTAAGGACTAAATTAAGAAACACTATATTCCTTACAGTAAAATTCCAAAAATCATCAAAATCCAATAACCTTACCTGCTGGTTTGATCTGACATCACCAAAACTCATTTTCTTCCCCAGATCTAGAATCACTGCATTCTTAGTTTCACGAATATAATCATCACTCACTGGTTGTGAAGACTTTGTATTTCTCTTCATTAGTCCCTGGGATGGCCTGTAAAATGAATTCACATCAACACGCTCATGAGATGTTATGGTATCGGATATGGTATAGGGAATCTGTGCTTGTAGGAATCTTTTAATTATTAAAATATCATTCATAGTAACCATGGGTTTTGGCCTGAAGCATTTATGTATGTATGTATGTATGTATGTATGTATGTATGTTTGAAATGGGGGTCTCACTACATAGTTCAGGTTGGCCTTGAGCTCACTTTGTAGCCCAGGTTGGTCTTTTTTTTTTTTTTTTTTTTTACCGATACCGGGGATTGAACTCACAACTGCCTGCTTGCAAGGCAGGTGCTTATGCCGCTGAGCTAAATCTCCAGCCTCCCCTCCCCCCCGTTGGTCTTAAACTTGCAAAAATCCTTCTGCCTCAGCCTCCTGAGTGGTGGGATTACAGGCGTGAACCACCGAGCCTTGCTTTAGTCTGAAATATTTAATATCCGTTTTGTGTCTAAAAGATACAGTTACTTAGGAATTGACTGACAAGTGCCCTATCACAGACCAAGCTATTTTATGTCCCCTCTCAACTGGCCCGTCTGGGTTTTCTTGTTTGTTTTTTTGAGACAGGGCCTCACTATGTAGTTGAGGCTGGCCTTGAACTCAGTATGTATCCCAGCCTGGCCTTCAGCTCATGGAGATCCTCCCCAGTGCTGGAATTACAGGCACGTGCCACCACCCCCGGTTTAACCGGCATTTCTCACAGCAGGACCCCTCAGTGAGACTTACACAGATGGTGCGCTCTTTGGCAGCCCCATGGCATTGGTGGGTGGGACGGCAGGAAGAGAAGGCAGGACAGAGCTGAGGAAAGCCACTGGGTTCTGAATCCGGCCGGTGGGAGAGACAGGAGTTGGGGGCACATAGTGGGGCTGAAACTGGTTTGCACTGGGCATGGAGAACGTGAGTGGCGGCGGAGCTGGCTCTGCTGGGGCTGGAGGGGGCGGCTCGCTGTGGCTGTGAACGGAAAGCCCGCCTGGAGATTTGGTCTGCACGGAGGGGTGAGACAGTAACAGGCTTTCCTTGCTCACTGTCCGCTGAATCGGCTGCGGAGTGCTGCTCAGGGTGAACACTGGGGAGCTGGATGGGGACGTGGTGGCCGCGGTGGTGCTCGCGGAGGGGAAGAAATGCTTCGGCCTAGCCAAGCTGAGTGCCTGCGACGAGGATGCGGACGATGCAGCAGCCTTCAGCTGCTTGCTGGAGACGACCACTGCCGCGGGGGGAGCCGCCGAGTTCGCCACGCTCCCGCTCGCGTGGAAAGGGAACTCCCTCGGCGACGCGGGGCCCGGGGCCTGCAGCTGCTGCTGCTCCAGTAGGACTTGGTTGTGAAGCTGTTGTAACTGAGTGGAGTCGCTGCACACAGAACAGGGGCGGGGAGAGAAGAGGGCCAAGTTACACCAGCCTGGCCCTTCTGCAGCGCACGGGCTGCGTCTGGCTCGGGGCTGGCTGCAAACATACATTGCAATGGCAAGAAAGCAACTGAGACTCGCTGAGAGCTGTTGGGCTCTCCCTGCTCCTAAGGCGCCCCGATATCGTGCATTCTGTTCCCCTAAGGGTGCCGTGTACAGTGCTTGTTGCTAAGGGGAACTTGTCAGTGAAGCTGGACGCCTCTCATCTGCTTCTGACCACAACGCTTTACAGAGAAGGTGACCGCCTGTCCTGCTCTCTTAAGGTGGTCCTGGCCACACCTGTTTTCCAGCGTCAGCGCTCCTGGCACTGACTTGCACTCTCAAAAGTGTTGGCCTTTGAATGATAAAATACACCCTGATCAGAAACATTGTCTTGGACTTTTTTTGGTCCTAAAATGAGAAAGATCAAGCTGAAAGCAGTGTCTCTAGGTATAGGAGCCTGGCTTACACAGATGACACGATTCTCTGTAAGTCCCACATGCCACTTAATTTTTCTTTGCAATCTTTTTTTTTAAGTACAGAGAAAGGAATAAAAATCAAACTTATATGTAGTCACCGAGGCTGCCTGAGAGGGCTACCTCCTGAAAGAGGAACTGTGGAAAGGCTGGTAAATGGGTTTGGGGACTTCAGGATGCTGGTTTGCTGTCTGACAATCTGTGTTGCTTTTGGGACACAGAGTGTTTGGATTGGGCCCAGGGCCTCGTGCTTGCTAAGCACACATGTATCATTGAGGGGCAACCTCCAGCCCCTTGATTCTTCATAATTTTCTTTTTGAGACTGAATTTGTGGTGATCCTCCTGCCTCAGCCTCCCAAGCCTCCCTGGGATTATAGTTGTGTCCTACCATGCCTGGCTTGATTTTTCTTAATTCTTGGAGTTTACAATCTTTTTTCTTCATTGCATTAACATTCCCTCTACATTCCATGTAAAAAAAAGGTACCTTCACAAATAAAGGTCCTTTTCTACTTCTATTGCTGCTGTGGAATGCTACGTACTGAATAATCCTTTGTTCATTGTATGAAAAAAATTCCTGTTGAGTTCAACTAAGAATTAAGGCATAGTAATTACTCGGTCCAGCACCTCCCCATTTCATTTTGTTTTATCTTTTATTTTTTGTGGTGCTGGAGGATCAAACCCAGGGCCTCACAAATGCGAGGCAAGCACTTTATCAGTGAGCTATATCTTCAGTCCTCTTCCTTCATTTTAGGAGCAAGTATGTAAGCTATAAGAACAAAGTAGCATAATTAAAATGTAACTAAACCTTTTCATTTCTTCATAACTGAAAGATAAAGCTATCAAAAAACCCCAATAATGTCTTTGTTGGAATTTCCACAGGAAAAATATGGACAGTAAGCACTGTTTCTGTTAGTGTCAACTTTCTTCATCATATACAAGCACAAAATCTTTTTCTTTATTTTGGTACTAGGGATTGAACTTGTCAAGACCTTGTTCTTACCAGGCAAGCACTTGAGCCACTGAGCTAAGTCCCCAACCCTATAAAATCTGATTGTGTTTAACAGATCTCATATTTGGAAAGTTACTTTTTTTTTTTTTTAAGATGCAGTCTTTCTGTGTAGTTCAGGCTGGACTTGAATTTACTATGTATCCCAGGCTGGCCTTGCACTTGAGGTGATCCACTTGCTCCCAAGAGCTGGCATGACAGGCATGCACCATCTGCCCAGCTCAGCCACTCATTATCTGTACAATTTTGGGTTGTTTCTAGACTTTTCTGACCCTGATTTCCTCATAAGTAAAATGTTGTTGTGAGAACTGATAAGTCACTTAAAACATATAAGTGATCAAGAAATGGTGGCAATTTTTTAGCTTCTGGACCACAAAGTTGAATTTTGAGATTTGTTAAGGTATCAGTCTCAGAATTACAAACAATCCAGAGGAGATAAAATGTTAGACAATCATAAAAATTAATTAGTGTGTTGAGTAGTTTTTGACAGCAGTTTTCCAGGCAGCGTGTGCTGTAGCAGGTTCTCCCTGGCTTTGAAGGACAACTACTGTGTACTAGGTCCCAGTGACCCATTCAGTGACCTCTCTTAGTGGCCCTAAATCTGCCGAGGTGGGAGGAAACACATTTGAGACTTTCTTTCCCCTGTCAGTTGTTAAACATCTCCCCCTTGTTGCTGGTTAGGATAACCAATTCTGAGAAGCACCATGTGTGGGTGTGTGTTGGATTTTTTTACTGGCACATATTTGCAGTACATAATGATTATGTTCCTCATCTAGAGCTGGTGCATGCATAGAACACATCTTAATTTTCATTTCCTTCTCTTCTTCTCCCTTTGTCCTCCCTCCATCATGCTGTCATTTTAACAGTGCTCATCATACTGGCTGCACATTACAGTCATCTGGCTACTAAAACAGAAACAAACCTCACTGATTTAGGCTCGGCTGCCAGAGGCTAACTTAGTGTGCTATGGGATTCTGGGACAGTTGTTATGTTTTAAAACGTAGGTTAGGCACAGGGCTTAGTTGGACACCTGTGATGCCTTGCAACTAGTGAAGTTGAGGCAGGAGGATTGCCTCATGTTTGAGGACGGCCTGGTCTATATAGTGAATTAGGCCAGCCCGAATCACACAGTGAAATCCTGTCACAGACCAATCAACCAATCAACCAAATAACAGTCTGTTGTCCTTAAACTCTAGCCTGGCTCAGAATGTCCTGCAAGGCCAGTTAAAACAGGTTTCCTAGGCTCACCACACTGGAGAGCTTCTGATTGTCAGGTCTGGGTGGCACTTGACCATCCAGCTAGTACATAGACCGAGACCCTCAATAATTCACCCTGGAACCATTGCTCTAAAGCAACCCTAACCTCCAGGTAGAGGATTTCTGTAGATTTTAATTTCTGTCTGACATTTTACTCACTTTTAAACAATAATTATTGCTTTTCTGCAGCTCAGGTAGAGGGGTGAGTGATGGGAAAGGTGGCTTCTCAGGTTATATCTCTAATTTTAGGAGAGTAGTTTCCAAACCAACTGCACATCAAGACAATCTGTGAAGAGATTGTGATTCACAGGAGATGGAGACCATGCCTGGTTCTCCAGCCTCCAGTTTCAGTCTTCAGCACAGCCAGGATGAAGACTCACTGCTTTAAATAGCTTGGTATTCAAGTCAGAAATTTCAAAATTATGAAGAATTACGTAGGCTTTGATGATACATGGTTTGAAAATGACAGCTTCCTTTTCTGTAGCGGTTTTGAGATCTACATTATCTGTTTTCCATATGAATGGCAAATCAAAGGAATAAGCAGGGAAAAAGCCATTATTGAGAAAAATGAGTGTGTATTTTAATGCAAAAACCTCTGAGTTTAAACTGATGAGATTATAACTAGTAAGAGAAGTCCTGACCCGGGGAAATGATAAATGTTGATGGATATGATAATTATCCCGATTACCCCATCACGTATTGTAGCCATGCATTAAAACCACATACTGAAAAAATGCCCCATAAATACATATAATTATTGTATGTCAATTAAAAAACTAGTAAGAAATGTTGTGGGCATATGAGTTCACAAAGTATGTGTGTGAATAAACATATATATTTGTACCTATCTCAATATAAATAGAAACACACAAATTAAGAGAATACTTAAGCAAAGAGTACTAAGGAAATATACAATGCTGAAGACTGAGGAATGGTTTGGAGGAAACCATTACCTATCAGCAGAAAGAATTTTTTTACTAATTGCAATTTTCCTATGGCAGACATCGCAGTTTAGTTTTCCCTTTGGACAGGGGTAATGTGGTGCAGCTAAAGACCGTGCTCAGCTCCCTTTGCAGTTAGTGTACGTGACTGAATTCCAATCAATAAGATATAAATAAGTACAAGGTTTTGGATGAGACCTACAGGAAGGCTGCTGACATCAAGAGTGTGATTTCTTCCTACTTGCCCTTCTGGCTGTTTGCAATGAAGATGTGACAACGAGGCCACTGTTAGCATCTTGGATGGGGAGGGTCCTGAAGAGGAAGCCAGTTCTGGAGGTGGCAGAGCAGGAAGTCAGGAGGCTTCATTAATAATGATGATGGAACCACCAGAACAATCCCAGACTCTCTGCCTGCTTCCTTTATGTGAGAGAGAAAAACCTGCCTGAATTTAACTCCTGTCAGTTTGGGTTTTCTGGATTATGAAACTCAACCCTAACTAATATACCTGATAGCTCCTAACACAGCCTGTGGTAAAAGAAAACCCCATAAAGAAGGTAATTGAAGTGGAGGTTGCTAGGGATTATTTATCCTTAACAACACCCTTTTCTGAAAGTTCCTGATGTGATCCATGTGCCCTCTTTTCCTTCCAAATCCTCTGCACTGCTGAATGGCGGAGTGGTCACCTGAGCAGGACCTGTCAGCTGGGATCTGGAATCCAGCTGCTGAGATCCAGAGTCAGCAGTGATGTTTAACCCAAGTCATGCTGTGGAAGGGGGACATGGCCACCATGGACCACAGCTACCCTGATGAGCAGCAAAGGTTGAAGATGGAGCAGATGTGGAGACAGAAATGAGATGCTGAGATAGACAGCAGACAGTGAGCCAGGTGTGGGGACACAGGCTGGGAAGACCGTGTGATCCCTGAGTGACAGCCAGGAAGACTGGTCCCACCTCTCCTGTTCTCCCGCCGGGCTTGGCTGCATTTTATTTTCCATTCTTGCCTACAAGGTATGCTTGAAAAATATGGTGAATGTTTAAATTTTAAAAATTTATTACAGTAAAAGACACACTGCTATTAATCTCCTTGCTTCACACACTTATTCTATTGTCCTTGGCTCTGTCTGAAGCAGTTCTGGATGCCTTTTGTATCTTGAGTTGCACTGTCACGGCTCTGACATAGATGAGACATGACATGATGTCCTGACATAGTTCAAAACATTTACCTTTCATGGTCATTTTGACTTTGGGGATGAGGCAGATGTCACAAGGTGCCAAACTCCGTGAATAAGGTGAAGGAAGGGACACTATCAGGTTCTTACCAACCTACTTTTCCACTGGATGGCACGTGACAGCAGCACTCACTGTAATTTTATTTTATTTTATTTTATTTTTTTGTCTTTTTTCTTTTTATCGGTACCAGGGATTGAACTCACGACTGCCTGCTTGCATGGCAGGCACTTATGCCACTGAACTAAATCCCCAGCCCCCACTGTAATTTTAATCATACTTCATAAAGGTACTTATGGAAGAGGACTTCTAGAACTGCCTCAGAAAATGGCAAGAATGGTTGAAGTGAAGGGGGAATATTTTGAGGGGGATTAATAGTAATATGTCTTTTTTGTCTTTTTGAGGGTCTCGCTGTGCCATTCAGGCTGGCCTTGAGCTCACTTTGTGACCCAGGCTGGTCTCAAACCCGCAGCGATCCTCCTGCCTCAGCTTCCTAAGTGCTGAGATTATAGGCATGCATCACCACACCCAGCTAGCAATGTGTCTTTTACTGTAATACATTTTAAAAATATAAACATTTCTGTATATTTTGATCACACCCCATCTATCCCTGCAGAATGTCTTCCCCTCTTTTTAGTTTCAGGAGATTCTTGTTTCCTGTGACTGGCAGAACTTTGAGGGACTGAGACCTTTCTGGATAAACTTGCCTAGAGGAATGTTTCATAACATTAAATTTCATGCCCATCACTTTGTCTTATGTGGTGAAAATATAAAAATGAAACTAGGGTGAAAGCCTGAATAAACCACCTGCTGTTTGTTCCAGAATAAACCCTCTAGACTTCCCCCGCTCCTAGAGAAATAAGGCTTTTAGTCGCCTATAGATACTAGTTCTGAAGCCCTGGTCCTGATGGAAACAGTTAAGAGAGTTCAGTCACCTCTCCCCACACTTCATCCCGTGGGTGCCCCTCAAGTCCATCCGTAGGTAGACATCTCCTGCCTCACGGACAGTGGTTGGCACACTGTGTGGTGGGCAAAATGTGCCTGGTTCTGTAACAAAACTAAACGAGGTCCAGGGATAGCTCATGATTGGCACTGCACAACACAAAGAGGGAACACTGTTGTGTGTGGAATCATAGACATAATTTCTATCATTCTGATGTGTTGGGAAGCAGAATGCGGTATTATGCTCCATATTTGCTTTGCTCCGAATAAGCACTGAATGTTGCAACAGGGTCCTGACAGAGGTTCTCTAGAGAGCTTGGGCTACGACTAAAATAAGTGCCTGGGTTTAGTCAGAAAACCATGACTTCTTTCATCCTATTACATTTATATAAGATCAGTTATAGTAACCAAGTAGCCAGCAACAGCACAGATTATCCGAGAAATACTAAGCAACTTTCCATCCTGAGCACCAGAGCTCAAATGGAAGCAGAAATGGAAATGCTGGGGTGAAATGACGGATGATAAAAATTGTTAGATATAAGAAAGGGCTTTATAAGACGAGATGAAATGTTTACCTAGAGACTCCAACATTACACAAATGTCTATGCTTTAGGTCAGGCACGACATCACTTAACGAGGATGACAGGGATCGTGCACTGTAGTGACATAAGGATATATTTCTCAATGCACTTAATGTGTATTTTCCATTCAGCAACTCCTTCTTTCAGCTCCATCTTTTTTCATTTTGTACCAGGGACTGAACTCATGACTACGTGCTTGCAAGGCAGGCACTTTATGCCGCTGAGCTAAATCCCCAGCCCATCAACTCCATCATTTTTAAGAATTTTAAGATTCAAGACAAGCTTGCACTCACACTTGTTATCCATTCTGATCTCTACTTACAGTTTAGGCTTGGCTAGAACTGGAGGGGGTTCTTTGACGGGGGAGGAAGGCTCAGGGATTTTTGCTGCCTGCCCGTTGAACCTCTCTGGGAAGGAATCAGGCCTGGTCTGGGAGGCCATCGCCACATTCCCCTCAGAGGACGCTTCGCTTCCTTTGTCATCTTCCGGCAGGTTGAAATGCACACGCAGCCCAATCCTGGAGCTGGAGCGGGGCTCGTTGTGGTTCACCAGGACCCCTTCGAGCTTGGGTTTGAGGGGCTGCTCTGCAGAAGGAGGCTCGGGGTTGGGTAGGGCTGTCTGAGGCTCACTAGTAGGCAGGTTGGTGGTGGAGTTGGCTGGGTGAAGAGCCCCATTGTTGCTGAGGTCTTCATTGCCTGAAAGGATAATCACAGGACCTGAGCGTTAGCCTTGTCTAGGAGACCAAGATGGCCTTTCGCCAGGCTCTGGCAAGCATGCACCTGGGAAAGTATCAAGCCAAGGGAAGAATAGAAATAGGAAAATGCTTGTCAAAGTCAGATCAGGATCTGGTATATTAAAGAACTGTAAGAAGGCAGGGAAAACTCAAGATCAAAATTCTCTTTTGGAAGATTACAGAAGACCAAGGAAGTGCTTTCTTAGGAGGTATAAAAGCAACAACAGGCTAATTGGGTGGCTTTATATACAATGAGAAATTGAAAACTGGCATTGTTCAAGAATACTCTCCTCAGCTGGCATGATGCTGCAGGCCTATAATCCCAGCACTCGGGAGGCCACGGTGTGAGGATCACCACAGGTTTGAGGCCAGTCTGGGGTTCACAGTGAGCTCAAGACCAGCCTACGCTACATAACAAGACCCTGTCTCAAAAAACACAAGGAAAACAAAACTACAAAACTAAAACCTCACTTTTTTCAATAATTCAAATGGTTTTTTGGTTCATATGTGAAATAAGGAAAGCTAACACAAACTTTGTATGCCACATTCAAATCCACAGTCTGAACCGTAGGGGCCTCTCCTGAGCCCTCACCTCGCACATCGAGGCGCGCCACGCTGGACACCGTGCCGTACTTGTTGCTGGCTGTACACGTGAAGCATCCGGAGTCTTCTGCGAACACTTCGGCAATAACCAAAGTACAGATCTCCTCTGCGTGCCAAAACACAGCGATCATGAGAACAGAACTGTGGAACTCACTGATAGCAGATTTGGATTCTACAAAAGTCAACAACTACGGTCATTCTTTGAAAACAGTTGGTAAAAATAATTATTTGATTGACTTGTTTGATTAGCAACCTCAATGAGTCTAAGGATGGAACCGATGCCTCGAGATGGGTTTTTTATAAGACTGCATGTGTATTATGAAAACAGATTATTTTCTATTTTTATGTCATCAATGCAGATGGCAAAAATGGAAATGAGTAGAAATAAATTTAAAACTGAATCACAAAAGCAAATTAGAAGTTCAAATAGCACATTCTGTAAACTCAAATCTCTCGTTATTTCCATGGGGAACTTTTACAGTAAGATAATTTTAAACAAAGGCCATAATTTAAAACTGGACAGTAACTAAGGCCGGGGATTTAGCTCAGCAGCATAAGTGCCTGCCTGGCAAGCCGTCAGGTGAGTTTGATCCCCAGTACGAAGAATAAAATAAAATAAAATAAGGTTGGACACTAAGTAAATACTTTGCTATGTACTAGTAATTAGCTGACAGAGTAAACAAAAATCCTGGATGAAAGGATAGTGAAGTAGTTTCTACTTCGTAAATACTATGGTTAAAAAAAATTAAGATGCATTATGTAGATGTACCAATTCCCCACGAAGAATGTAATTATTATCTACTACAAACATATATTAATAAAAAAATCCTTGTGGATTACTTTGACACACAGTATGAACCCCTGTGAATAACGATGGAAGTGATTTCCTGATAGAACCATATGATTGTAGCCTAAAATTACTATAATTAGACATTCCTTGATGATTAACGAAGTGGAGACACAGGACAGCTAGATAAACCTCTGGTTGTCACTTAGTAGTCTCAACAAAAAAATTATTAGTTGTATGAGGGGCAACTTGGCACCTCAGTGTTTCATGGTAACTAAATTAAATGGCCTCCACTACCTCTAGAAAAGCTGGCCACGAGACTCCTGCAAATGTACTGGGTCCCCCTTCTGAGAGGGCCCAGTATGTTACACGCTCTCCTCACTGTGCGGCAAAGGACCCAGCACAGGGCTACATGGCCTGCATGCTCAGTGTCTTCTGGAATGCCCTTCCGTTTGGTCGTCGGAAGGATTATAATGCTGAAATTCCGATCACTTTTTTCACCAGGTTGGATTACAAATACAACCTGATTTTTCAGAGTGGTCACAGAAAGAGCAGCCAGATGTTTATGTCCTGCTCTGTGAGTGACTTGTATTTTCCAGTGGTAAGTGCTTCTCCCACTGGCACTTGTGCTTATCTCATCTTTATATCTGTGCAATAAAATCTAATAACAGCACAGTGCTGGGATCAACATGTTTTCTGATATAGATCGTCACTCCTTGCGCATTAATAAAGTTGAGATGATCTTTACCTGGTTCTGCCATGGAACGAGGTTCTGAAAAGAAAGAAAATTAAAAGACTGTGAACATTTATTTTACTGAGAGGGTACATTTTTATCAGAAGCTTCCTATGGGATTTCATAGTCTCTTGCATAGTTAGAAGAGTTTGGCAAGGTTAATTTCTCAAGGTTAACTAAAATGCCCTAAGCTCCAGTGACCTCAACAGGGACCCAGAGACAGCAGGAGAGCAATGAAGTGATGTCGCTGCCTTTTGGAATATACCCAGGTCCCCTGAAGGCAAGAAAGTGTTCCTGAGTTAGCCGGGATTCAGAAAGGCTTTGTTTTTTTTTGAGATAGGGTCACACTATGTATGTAGTTCAGGTTGAACTTGGACTCACTGTGAAGCCCAGGTTGGCCTCAAACTCATGGTGATCCTCCTGCCTCAGCCTCCCAAGTATTGGGATTATAGGTATGCACCACCACACCAGGCAGGCTTTTTTCTTATTGGTACCCATTTAGCCTCACCTGAAAACATGCTTTGAGGGCTAAGAGATTATTCTTTGCTTTGGGCTTTTATGTCCCAGTAAAGTATAGAATTCACCTTCTCCTCTGAGCTTTTTAAGATCAAGAGCCTCAGATTAGGTAATGGATTCTCCTGGAACAGATTCTTAATTTTAAAAATCGTTGGCATTCCTGCAAGTGCCTGCTGTGATAATACATATTGGCACTCAATGAATGTTTACTGAATTGTAGGCAATCAGGAAGTAGTTGTTGAACTTGGTTACGTTTACAAGGACAGCACTCTGAAGTTTTTTCTCTTTCAGTTAAATGGTATTCGGAATTTATTATTGCTGCTGCTAAAATCTAACATTAGGGCTGAATCATACATCACATTGACCCAAGTACTACTATTTTTGTGGTAAGAAACAAATTAGCAATAACATAATGTACCACAAAAATGATAAGTATGTGAGGCTATACACTATTAATTAGCTTGGTCTAACCATTCTATAGTGAATATATTTCAAAGCGTCTTACTGTACATGATAAATTACACAAAGCTATCAGTAAAATAATTAAAAAGGAGTCTACTATTCCCATGCCTTCAGTAGGCAATGAATTTTGTGTTCTTTTCCCTGAAAAAAAAAGATAAGAAAGAAAAAAAAGAAAAAATTAATACGTATTTATTATAGAAAAACTGAAAAAACACAAAAATGCAAGAGGAAGCAAAACAATCGACTCGACTCATTGCCCAATGCCTTAGCAAATTTCCTTCCCAAGTTTTTCTGTAATAATCACTCTACATACTCGATATAATATGTAGCAAATAAATTATTTAGTTATGACTGAAATAGGTCAAGAATAAAGAGTGCACTGAATGACAAGATGAAAGTAGTACTTATGTGATAAAAAAGAATCAACACCCCCACACATCTAAATTCTTACAAGAAAAAGCATGAAAACCCAGTATGAAATAGAGAAATACAGTGACCTATATAAACATGAAAAAGTGCCATCCCACAGCTAATTAGTAAAGTACAGATTACAATAGCTCTTCCCATATGTAATTTCTATAAAGTTAGTAAGATTTAACCAAAGAGCTGATGTCCACGGTTGGCAAAGATACGGGACGAAGGCATTCCATGGGTTGCTGGAATGCAGCGAGGTGACTCACGGCCCAGAGCTGCGGGGCCCAGCCAGTTTACGCTTGGGAGCCTGCGTGCTTATTAATAAAACGCTCTTTCACAATTGTGTGTGATTACCCTAAATTTAGCTCAACCTTTTGGGATGGCATTTTTGGCCATGTATATTAACAGCTTACAAAAATTTGAGTTTGCAGTAGCAATTCAGTACTAGAAATTTATACTTATTGTTCAGACAGCTGAAGGCAGATGTCTTGTCCTCTGGGTGAATGATTTGGGGATGACAGCATGCAAGGCATGGGCCATTGTTATCCCCTGACTGATGTACTTTAAAACTTTGTTGTAGTTTTTTTCTTCTCCTTTTTTCTTTCTTTTTATGTTTGAATAAAATGGATTTGAAAGAAAAGAAAAAAAGAGAAATTTACACCAGGGTAGTAAATAGTCACAAAGACTTGCTCTGTTAGCCTACACTGATGCACAGTTTATAGTAATAAAAACTGTGAACAGCCCAAATGTTTAACAGAGATTAAATAAATATGGAGTTGGTATTATTGACTTTGTTGTTGTTGTATTTGAGACAGGGTCTTGCTACGTAGCTCAAGCCGGGCCAGAGCTCACTATGTAGCCCAGACTGGCCTCAAATTTGTGGTGAGCTCCCCATGTGCTGGGATGGCAGGCGCGTATTACCATGCCTGGTGACTTATTTTTAAAGGTAAGAAATCTAATGAGGTCTGATGCCACACGCATCTCTCAGCCCTCTGTGAGGTTAAGGCAGGAGACCCAGCCTGTACAATTTAACATGTTACCAAAATTTACAAATTAATTAAGGAATGGGGATGTAGCTCCATGAAAAGGCCTTGAGTCAATTCCCAGGATCACAAAAACCAAAACCAAAAAACACCAAATCTACATTTAATATGTAAAGATGTCCATGAAATGTTGAGTAAAAAATCAATTAACAAAAATTAGTATGACTTATTTTTATTTCAAAAAATATAAATGGGAAAATTCTTGCAGAATTTTACACTAAATTAGTATATTAGTGTATTACACTAATAATACACTAAAGTATTAATAGAGTTTAGTCTGGAGGAATATGAGTACAGGTGGTTTATATTTTATTTTTTTTACTCTGTTTTTAATGTTTCTAAAAACCTATAAAAATCAATGATCAGAAAAATTGCTTTAAAGCATCAACTTACTTTTTTGTAAAATCCTAAAATCTGGAGAATCTTCTATTAAGGTCCCTTCCCTATACCACTCAACTCTGGGGGATGGAGCTCCTTTTACTCTGCATTCAAAGACAACCAGCTGACCCTCAGAGGCTGACAAATTTTGTAGCATCTAGGATGAGAAGAATATCGTTAGAACAAAAAAGTATGCATTTTGGAATGTAGTCCTAAGACTGGATTCTAGGAAAAGACACTATCTTTTCCTTTATACTCTATCTGCCTTTTTTCAAACATACCTTTTCAGCAGCTTTGATTCTATGGATGTACACGGAGCCTATATTTGAAGACAGAACCATCTGATCCAAAGCTCTTTCCTTACTGTTTTCTTCCTTTACCTTTGTCATAGTGCTACATACACTTATTAAAAATGAGGCAAAGCCTATTGAGTAAAGTAGCTAACTTTCAGTGAAGCAATGTCTGTTCTTAAATGCCCGAGTGGAGTTTGGTGTCCAGAAATAAAAATAATGATTTTAAAAACTGCAGCAAAGCTCCACTAGGTGATTCAATACAGGAGAAATGTATAATTTTCCAGGGGAATATGGCTGTTCATGATATGGAGCAGATCTGTGGCCCAAGTAACTGATTTGGTCTTTCCTAGCTTTGCCAAGTTTACATCTTGCTGTCTTGGAGATTGATTTTTGTTTTGCTGTTTTGTTTTCTTTATGTGGTCCTTTGTTTGTTGATGGTAGTGCTGGGGCTTGAACCCAAGGTCTTTTTTTTTTGACACGGTTTCTCTATGCAGTTCAGGCTGGCCTTGAGCTCAATTTGTAGTGCAGGCTGGTCTCGAACTCACAACAATCCTCTCACCTCTGCCTCCCGAGTGCTGGGATTACAGGCGTGAGCCACCACATCCGGCTTTGAACCCAAGGTCTCATCAATACTAAGCACATATTCTACTGCTGAGCTACATAGTCTGCCCTCCTTATGTGGTCGTTATGGTGTAACCCAGCTGAGCTGTTGAAGACATAAGCAATGACAATCTTTATATAGTCACATACGGGGTCTTAGGTCATTATAAGATGTGTTGCAATTCAGAGAAGGCATCAGGAATCCTTCTTCACACTTTCACGATGAAAGGTCTACCAAGCCATGCAGAACTGTAAAATGTCAGCTTATTCCATCCTAGACTCGTGACAGAAAGGAGTATGTATTTTCCCTCATGCTACATTCTTATTCATTACGATTAGAAACTTAAAATTGCACATTCTTTAGTGTGGTTAGTACTTCATTTGACTAGGAAATACATGTGTGTAAGCATACTTTTATTTTCCACTCTGGACCAAATAGTAGACAGAGATTCTAATTAAACCTGCTTTACAAACTTTATATAGCAAGTGCTATGCAGTTGTTTAGTCTTACAGATTTTTGGCTTAATAGAAGAGGAGACCTAGTAATTGTGTTGCTACTTTTATCATTCACTCAGAAATAACATGAAATTTTTTGAGACAGAGTCTCACTGTGTAGTGCAGGCTGGCCTTGAACTCACTTCTGTAGCCCAGATTGGCTTTGAACTCCTCCTCAACCTCCCAAATGTTGGGATTACAAGTGTGCACTACAACACCCAGATACTTGTGAGATTTTTTTTACAGCTCTTGTATGAACAATTTATGCTATTTTGCATATATCTATGTCACAATTATAGCTTTTACCTAAGGAATACAAGGACAGTGGGAATAACCACAGATTTTAGCTATAGTAAGACATTTTTAATTGAGAGGTAAATGTAAATTTGTATTATAACAGCCAGGGGGCACTGTAGTTCGATGTTGTACGTTGTAGGGTCTTGAATATGTTGAAGTGATTCATGGCGATTCACTCACACAGACTTGTTTCTAATTGATAAAGAGCTGTTTGGTTAAAAGTCTTCTTATTCCACATTTGCCCAAACAACACTGAGTGACAAGAATGAAAAGCAAGAAGTCTTCACGGGTCATGTTGTTCTGGGTAAACTGATAAGAGACCTTCTCGGTCCTGGCCCCTGAGCAAATTCTGTGCAGAAATGCAGCTTTGGGGCCTACTGAAAACTTCAATGGCAGTCAGACATCTCCCAGACTTTGCACATATGGAGCTTTTAGTTCTTCTTGACACAGGCAAATTAAGACACCATCACCTCACCCTGTGCAAGGTGGCAGAAGAAACTGAATAAATGAAATATGGTACATTTATTAAAATGGGTATAAGCAAAATGGATCAGTCTGTATTCTCTCACATGGAGTGCAGTTTGGCTCATATATATGTGAACTAATGGTTAGTCCTGCAGAGGAAATAGCAAAGTCCTGTTGCAGAGGAGATCCTCGAGAAACTATGTCCCTCTGGATTTAAAACAGCACTATTTGATTGTGATTTTTTACTTGACATTGGAAGCCAAGACTTGTGTTCTATTTGAGAAGCTCATCAAGATACTTTCAGTTCTATGGCGTGTTGAACAGGCTCACTGTCCATGATAGGATATGCAAGATCATTCTACTGTGAATCAGTATTCAATAGAGTGCTCTTATGAGACACTTAGGAAGAGTTCTTGGAAGTTATGAGAACAATGATAGTTATTGGTGCTGAAAAGTATGCTTGTCCTACAATGTCTCCTAAGGAGGAGCTGGCTCATATGGCTGCACATCAGGGTCCAAGTCAGCTGCATCATTAGAACATACACAGATGACACTACCTGTGTTCATCACAGCAGGAGACCCTTGGTGGGTCCCACTAGCGTGATGCTATATGGTTTGCATATGGGAACAGTGTGCCCCTTACTGGATTGGGTGTTGGAAGCTTGGGGCCCTGTGTAATGATAAGAGGTGGTAGGACCTTTAGGAGGTGGGGCCTGATGGGAGGTCATTATTGACCCTTTCCTTCATTCTGGCTTCCTGTCTCACCATATGACCATAGGACCATGTGACTCTCTCTCTTTTGTCCCTTGATTGTGTAACCTTTTTTCTTTTTGTACCAGGGATTGAACTCACGACCATGCACTTGCCAGGAAGGTGCTTATGCCGCTGAGCTAAATCTCTGGCTCTTCTTCCCCTGATTGGGATGCCATCTTCCACAAGGTCCTCACTAGAGTTAAGAGTTTAGAGACTCAAGCCATACTCTTGAGTCTCAAAACTGTGAGCTAGATAAATTTTGTTCTTTTACAAACTGTCAATCTTCAGGAATTTCTTTATAGTAATTTAAAACATTGATATACTTGATGTATGAAAAATTCATCATATTGACTTTGATAAAGATAAATGAAACAGTCCCTAACTGGCAAAGATTAAGTTAATCTTTACCAAGAATCATGGATCTGGACTAGTCATCATAACCAAAGGTCCGTAACCTCCTGAAGTAGTGTTCAAAGTGCAAATCCTTTTTTGTGTCATTATACGACCGTCTGAGATTGATGGTCTTCGTAGGATGATTTAGCAACACACAACCTTGATAGTCTGTCTTGCATGGCCACTTGTCATTGGATTTATTTTCTCTATCCTTCCTAGAGACACTCTGAAGCCACACAAAACTTTCTTAGCTGAAGTGGAGGTGCTTACCACAGAATAAATTTGAGCAGGAGCCTTTTTTCTGCCAAACTCTGGGCCAGGTGCTCTAAATGTAAACTGAGAGGACACAATTCCTGCACAGTAGATCTCTGTCCACAAATAAGATGCAGGGATGTCCTTGAAAAAAAAGCATCTCTCTGATTGGTTAGAAGGTGTTGATTTCAAGGTTCATTTTTGTCATTGTATTCATTTTTCAGTCTAGTTGACATTTTTGCACATTGGGACATGGTACAACTGAATGTGTACAGTGCTTTAGGCTGAAGTTGGATCCAAATAATTTTTACTGATAAAGAACTGATTGAAGGTCCTTTGTCCCTTGATTGTCATAGGTTCCCCATTCAAGAGTTGAGCTAAAGAATTATCTGGAATTGATGGGTTGGGGATAGGGCTCCATGAACTCTTCAGTAATCTGAATCCAGCTATTGGCCCAGTTATTTCGGTTTCCTGCCTCTGCTATTATATAATGGACTGCTCTTCAAATTCTCACTTCCCTGCCCCATGGCTCTCTTCAAATTACTGCTGAAGCAGCTGGAGCCAGGGCCAGTGCTCCTTGAAAGCCTGCCAGAGCAGCTGTTGTTGAGTGGGAGCAGAGATAGGAGCAGGATTCTAATTTGATCACCTCCCTCCCTCCACTCTTGAGAAGTGTGTGTGCTCCCCACCGGCCTCACAAAGGCAGCTGGATGGCTTCTGATCCTGCGCAGAGTGGCAGTGGCTCTGCATCCATAGCTTAAGTGTTCAGATGTGCATGGGCTGGGGTGCAGCGCAGAGGCACAGTACTTGTGTACTACATGTGATGTGCTGGGCTCCATCCCCCGTGCAGGAAATAAACAAAAAAAAAAATCTGTGATACTCTGTCAGCAGATCAAAGAGCAGTTTATGAAATCTCACAGAGGAATGACATATGGAATTCCACTCTCCCACTACTTTTCAGGGCAACTCTCCTTTTCCATTTTATTTTAGCCTTTTTAAACAGGATGGTAAGTGAGCCAAAGGAGAGGGAAAAAGAGTTAAATAAAACTCTGCTATCTAACCATTGCTTTAAAAAAAATGGTTTCTCACCCAGAGAGGTTTTATTGAGCAGTAGAGAAAGTGAGTCTTGGGGGCAGAAATGCCAGAATCACTAAAGAAGTAAATAGAACAGGAACAACCTGAATGAATCGATGCAAAGGACCTGGTCTCATTGTTCAGGCACAGGTGACACCATCATTAGTAGTTCTGACTCATTCATTAATGACATGGGCAGTGACTATGACCTCAATCTTGCCCTTACTGATGGAAACTAACACAAGCACACCCTGCTGCTAAGTCCCTCTGGAATTTGAGTCACAGCCTATCCTGGTGTCCTGAGTCTGAACAATCATGATCCCATTTATGGAGGCAAAAGTGCACATTCAGAGCGTGGAGAAAGTTTCAGGGATTCTGGGGTCTGTGTATTGAGGACTGTTTTCTCAAATGGCGGACATCACTGAAAATCTTTTAAAGATTTTACCTAACAAACATCTAATGATTAAGTCATTGTCCTATCTTTATTTTTCAAGTGTATCTGTATCTTTATCAAATGTATTTGTCACATGTATCAGTTGGCATATAATTAAGAGGTGATTCGAGCCGCAACACAAAAATAGCCAAACCTGACTCTCTCATTAACCTGTGAAATGTACAGAGTAAATGTTAAAGGTTCCTGTCAGATTTTTCCCCCTTCTTTTTGCGGGATGCTGGGGCTTGAACCCAGGGCCTCATGCTTTCTAGGCAAAGGCTCCACCACTCAGCTATACCCCTATCCATAAACGTTGAAACAATAGTAGCTTTGGAGCTATCATTATTTTTATGAACTTCTCTGTTAGAGACAGCTTTCAGGGTGATAGAGACAAGCAGGAAAGTGAACAGTTTTATCTCTGATAAATAAACCAGATGCACGCTCTGGGTGCTAAGAAACATGGAAAGCAGAGCCCCTAAGATTTGAATTGAGAGGAGATAAGGACACCTCTGGTGTCCCCTATTTGGCTGGGTGGCAGTGTTGAGGATGAGAAGAGAGGAGGCTTACTGGGATTGGGTGTCAACTACTCCTTGGTTTAGTTGCCTTTGAAGAGTCAGCACTGTCTGAGGTGTGACAGAGGAGTGTGACAAATTAAATTAAGCGTGCTGATTTCTAGCACTTATGCTATGTGTTAAGGCTGGGTGACTTAGCAGTAACAATAAAAGAGAACAAGAACTAGCTTTATTAGTTATATTTCATATAAGCACGCACACACACACATGTGCCTACAGTTCTTCATCAGAGCCTTATACCTACCAAGTGTCATGTTATTTTCCTACTTCAAATTTTTGAAAATAATAAAATTGAAATCTCAGACACAGGTTCCAGGAAAAGAACCTGAAAAACTGAAAGGCATTCTTGTGTAAAAAGGTGTGCCTGAGTGACCTGGAAGTTTGTAAACATGGCCCACTCTTGCTGGGTACTGGAGGCCATCTTGGATAGGCCAGTATGGCAGAACGTCACTGAAACTGAGGATTCTGTGGAAGTTGTGGATTTAGGTCTTAGTATAAACATGAGTACTTTCTGAAAAAGCCCATTTTTGTCATTTTCCTTGGTATTAGGACTTTTCAACTTCAGCATGACTGACATTTGGGGGTGGATATTTTTCTTTTGAGGAGGGCTGCTATCCCATGTACTAGAGGAAGTTTAGCAGCATCCCTGGATACCACTAGTGCAACTCTTCAGTTGTGATAACCAAAACTGGCTCCAGACAGTCCCAATAACCTTTGGAGAATAAGATTAACCACGGTTGATAACCACTGTTCCAAGCCAAAACATATTTCTTAGAGGATAAAATCTCTTTGGGCCTAAATTTAATTTGAATACAGCAAACTATAAATCAGGGGGAAGAGTCTGCCCATGTGGTCTTCATAGTCCCCCAAAATCCAGTGTGATTCAGTTTTTAATATTAGAACTTACTATTTTGAACAACAAATAAACATACTCTGTTATATAAGGGTACATAAACCGAGAAGTAGAAGAGCTTGTATGTAGTCACAATTGTGCCACTAACTAGTCCTGTGACACTGGAAAAATAGTTTAATCTCTCTGAGTTTCTCTCTCTCCTTTTTTTTTTTTTGTAAATGAAAGTGCCTGACTGAACTTTCCAGTTCTAAATACAAAGACTATGTAAGTCAGAATAGCTGATACCATGGAACAGAAAAAAAAGCTCTTTGTCCTTGAGAGAGGCTTTATGTTAAACCTCCCGAAAGTAACTTCATGTCCTCACGCACCAAAGACAGATCCCTGGAACCAGATACTTCTGAAAGTGAAGAAAAACTTTAATAGATGGCTGGAATTGTATCGCCTGATCTTTGGGTGTGGCTGTCTCTAAGTCTGAGACTGGTCATAGAGATCACTGTGATAAGGGGAAATAATATCGTCATAAGAACTCTTCTTTAAACCCAGTGTGGGTGGTGTATGTCTGTAATCTCAGCTACTCAGGTGGCTGAGGCAGGAGGATTGCCTAGGCTGTGCCATTTAGCAAGATTCTATCTCAAAAAAGGAGGTAAAGGGTAATTGCTGGGCATGTAACTCATTGACAAGGCACTGGCATGTACTGGGCCCCATCCCCAGTACTAGGAAAAATAACAACAATAGCAAAGCAAAATCAGCAGCAGCAACAGCACAAACTCAACAAAAAGCACCTATAATTAGAAATCTGGGACTTGAAGTGATACTATAATAACCAACAAAACCTTCCCCACTAGGGTCCTTATACTCTATTTATACGGGCCAAAATATTGAAAAAAATCAATCAACCTATCTCTAACTCTGTGTGGGTGCTGTGGTGTCTTTCAAGCCATGACAGAAAGAAAGAAGTCATGTTCTGATTACCTTTGTAAACACTGGAGCCGCAATGATAGGTTTTCCATCCAATCCTTGCAGGTAGTTGGTAGGGCTCTGGCACTGTTAAAGAGGACAATGACAGAGTCATTATCACTAAAATTATTACCTGGACTGACAAATACGACAAATGTACAGAATTTGATTATAAAACTAAAATCAAAAAGGCATGTTTTCTAAGTTTGCAAATATTAGACCTCACATTTTAGAAGAAATTGAGTGCATTTCTTTGTAGGACATGGTGACTGTAAAAACCATCCATTCTCTTGCTCCGTGTATGAATCCATGTAATTAACACTAAATCCCTGAATCGACCTCATAAAACCCTGGGGCAGTGCAGATCACAGTGGAAAACCAATGAATTAGAACTAAGACACGATCCTTCTGCATCACTAAGTGGACTGGATAAGTAATTTTGATTTTTAAAAATAAAAGACTGGAACTCAATATATTTAAATATATTTGTCACCAAGAACAGTCTATCATAATATTTTGTGAACATATTTAGGTCATATGATGCAATGTTTTAAACTATATGCACACATATATATTCTTCTATGTGCAGAGGTAATGCCTGGAACTCTGAAATTACTAGTAGGAAGTACCTCTAAGGACTGGAGTAGAACCTTGATTAAAGGTTTTACTTAATATGCTCTTGTACTTTCTAAATTTTTGAATACTAAGCATTTATTATTATTTTATTATTACTAACATGAAAGACCAGCACCTTTACTATTTTCTAAAAAATAACTTCTTGTTTGTTTCCTCTCAGGCAATAAAATCTTTTGTGGCTACACAAAACTGAGTTTTATGATGTAGAGTATCCCGGGCTGGTCCAAGACGGGGTAGCTCATCATATAAAGTAATCGGCACTCTTAATAAAGCTGGAATGTCAGAGACTAATTTGTGAAGAGTTCCCTTTCCTGTGATATTTGCCTGTGAAGCCAGAGCAATGGGAACTGCTGCTCTCTGAAATCAGGAGTACAAAGTGACCTTCATCCTGACAGCATTGCAACAGAGGGCAGCATGATTGTGCCATGCCTGACGGTCATCGTCACGACACACGTCCATCACGGTCCATGGCACTCACGTTTCATCTAGATTCCGTACCTGCTCGACGGTTGACACTCTGGGTTGGGTCACCAAATGTGTGGCTGGCGGTGCTGCTGGAGGAATGGCTGCAGAAGTAGTGGGTGGTGATGACACCTCATTTGGCTTCTGGATTCTGAGAAATGATTATGATACATGTAGATTATAAAGCAGAGATATAGCTGTTCGTGAACAATCTTTCAGCAAGATTAGTAAGGCTACCGCCAAGTGTACAGTCAAAAGTAACCACACTCTCGGTGTGACAGTATTCTACACGTGCTTACTGAGCGCTTCAGCTACGCGCTCTGTTAGGCAATGCAGACATGGAGGTGGACCAGACACTGTTCTTGTGAGTTACTTGCAGGGCAGCCTGAGAGTCAAACTTATTTTTTTGTTTGTTTGTTTTGTCTTTTTCCTTTTTATCAGTACCGGGGATCAAACTCACGACTGCCTGCTTGCAGGGCAGGCGCTTATGCCGCTGAGCTAAATCCCCAGCCCCTGAGAGTCAAACTTATTAACAGCTACCTGAGATCCATGACAGAAACATGGGCAGAAGTAATTCTTTTAAGATTTGTTGTTCTCAGTATTTCATTTCCCCTTTTCACATAGGAGGCTGGGCTTTGTAAATCTTTACAAGCATCATTTTGGCACTTCAGAAAGTGGAAATAACCTGAAGTCAATAAGCTCTTCAAATCTACGTACATTTTCTGGGTGTGAGGGCACACACCTGTCATCCCAAGCTGGGCTGGGCTACATAGGTAGGCCCTGTCTTGAACAAAACTAAACAACTCAACTCAAATAAAATAAAATAAAATAAATAAACAAGAGAGACAGAGCATTCCCAATAAAGCCATGCCACTAAGGCTTTTATGTTGGCTGATTTCAGATTTAAAAAACAAAACAAAACAGAACATGTTTGTCTCATTCGATTTTTATCTTCATATGTATATATATATATATATATATTATATATAATATATATATTATATGTATATAATTTTTTTTTGCCTTTTTCTTTTTTATCGGTACCGGGGATCGAACTCACGACTGCCTGCTTGCAAGGCAGGTGCTTATGCCGCTAAGCTAAGTCCCCAGCCCCTGTATATATACATTTTTAAGACAATGTCTCAGTCTGTAGTATAGGCTGGCTTCAAACTCATGGCGATCCTCCTGCCTCAGCCTCTCAAATGCTGGAATTACAGGTGCGCACCACCACACCTCACTTCAAACTCTTGTATGTTTCTCTGTACTAGACTGTGAGTCTCTTGAAGGCAGGAAAGACCTAAATTTCTCTAGCAGCTACTGTATCTGGTACAGTGCCTGGGGTAGAGTAAGCATTCAGTGCACGGTTGTAGCAGGTGAGGAACAGCTGGTCACTAGTTTGTTCAGTATTCAGTACAACAGTTGAACCAAAAGATGGTAACTTGTCCAGATCACTCATTTGTATATGTACGCTATGTGTATATATGCACTAAATAAATAATTGTAATAATAAAGTCTACTAAAATTATATGTAAAGGTATATATATTATAAATTATATATACATGTATTTATAGAATTACTAGGTTTTGTGTTCTTGGGAACACTAGGAAAGCATGAGTGTTTTTTAAACCACTGGATATTTGCTTTTTACTCTGTAGATAAAAGTAAGATGATTTTTCAAAGGGGATACTTTATTTTTTAACTATTGAGAATATTTGAATTAACCTGGGTGCCTAACAGGCAATACTTAAGCAAAAGACATAGAGTTTTCTCCCAATCTGCTCTGCTCGTTTTAATTAATTAATTTATTTTTAGGTCATACTCTGAAGTCACCTTTTGCAAGGTCTAGAAACCAGGCAGAAGATTTTTTGTTTGTTTGTTTTTCCTTGGTACTGGGGATTGAACCCAGGGTGCACTGAGCAATCCCCACAGTCCTCTTTTTTATGTTATTATTTTGAGACAGGGAGCTGCTACTGCTCACTGTGGCCTTAACTTACAGAATTTCTGCTTTAGCTTCCCATGCAGCTGGCAGTACGAGTGTGTACTACCTCACCCAGCCAATTAGACACTTTCTTGGGATGTAAGGATGGAAAGGCTACAAGACAGAAAATTAGGATTACCGATTCATTTCGTCCTTGTTAGGGTCCCCTTCTGAGTCAGAAGAAGAAACTCCTGGAGAAATAAAACAAGATGTGAGATTTTGAAGATAATAAATTGACTTTGAAGAATTATAGAAATTTAGATTTAGAAATGAACTCTGAGATTCTCTCCCCTAACATTCAATTTGACAGATGAAGAAACAGACCCTCAGAGGCTGAAGAAGTTGCTCAAGGTCACACTGCTAGTCAGTGCTAGAGTTCAAATTAACTGGTCCAACACATGTGTGGATACCGTACTGTTTGTGTGAGAAACTGAAGGTATAAAAAAGGACCAAAATGTGTAATAGATATTGAGAAACAAGAAGAAAATGTTCGAATGGGAAGGGGAACTGGGGCGGGGCGAGGGGGAGAATGAGAAAAGAAGGGAAAATGAAAAAGATTTTGTAAAGAAGGAAGGGAAAAGGGGTTAAAGGGAGGGTAGGGAAGGGGGAAAAAGAATCAAATTATATCATCTACAGATACAGAGTCTCCATGATGAATGTGATCATTATGTATACCTAAAATGTACCAATAAAATGAATCTAAAAAATTAACTGGTTCAATGTCTAATGTTCGAGTATGATGTCTTTAGACTAGTGGAGAAACCCTTGCAGACATTTTCTGGTGTTCATAAATACTCATGCTCATGGCCTGGGCAGATTGAATACGGAAGCGATTACACTGGATTCCAAACATTGTAGGTGTGGGTGGCTGCTCTTCCGTCCTGTCCTAATATTAACAGGTCATCCTTCATCTTGAGAGTGGGGTTGTTTAAAGTCCTGCTGCCACAAAGGAAAAAAAAAAAAATGCAATCCAATCTCAGCACTGTTAGTGGGACTTTGATCCAGGATTTACTTCTCAAGATACTGAATTCCAGGAAGATAAAATAGAGCTAAATTGGGAGGTATTTATTATGCTCTGAATACTTGGGGTAAAAACATTTAACATGTTCCTATTTACATATTTAATCAATAAATGTTTTATCAAAGATTCACTATCGAATTGGTATTCTGTAAGATATTGGAGATTAAAAAAAAAAAAAAAAGAAAAAGCACAAAACAGTCCTGGCCTTACAATGTAGCTGATAAATTGGCATTTATACCACAATAATAATACAAGAGGCAAATGCTAAAACCAAGGCATTTGTAAGTATTATAGTCAACCAAAGTGCTAAAGAATACCCTCAGGAAAAAACTCAGAGGTTGAGACAAAATGGGAACAAACCTTTCTGTAAATACATGAGAGACATAAACTGATTTCCCCCTTGAAATTAATCACAAAGATGGACACTGATGTAGAGGCCTTTGAAATGCTCCCAACCAGGGTCCCTGCTTCTCCCCTCCCAACTGTACGTTCTCCACCAGTAGCTGGAGTTACTCTGTTCAAACTAAGATTAGGCTAAGAACCAAGGTCCCTGCAATGAGCTGGGCTCTACAGACACGCTCTGCCCTCTTTATCTCCTCTGTCTGCAGCTGCAAAGCTCATGGTCACAGTGGGACACACATTGGCCTTGGGACCAGCACGTTTGCCTCAGGGCCACCCAACTTGCTGAATTCTCTGCCTGGAGGGTTTTCCCTTGAGTATCCTTGTTGGTTACCTTGCCTCCTCCAGACCTCCATGCAAATGCCACCCATAAGGTCTTCACTGGCTACCTTGTTTAAAATTAGAGTCAACACATACTTTCATACATACACATACATAATTCCTATCCACTGTTTGGCTATTTCTTTTTTTTTTCTTTTTCTTTTTTGTGGAATCAGGGTCTTGCTATGCAGTTCAGGTGGCCTTGAACTCACTTTGTAGCCCAGGCTGGTCTTGAACTTGCCACAATCCTCCTGCCTCAGCTGTTTTGCTATTTCTTTCAGGTTTACTTACATCTGTGATAGTATATGCTACATATATTTAGCTCATTTGTTTTCTCTATTATTACATAAATTCACCAGTATAAGAATCCGGGGATTTTTGTCTACTGGGTTCATTGCTATATCCCTTTGCCCAGAAGTATGGTAGAAGAGGTCGTTAATAAATGTTTATTGGGGCTGGGGATTTAGCTCAGCGGCATAAGTGCCTGCCTTGCAAGCAGGCAGTCATGGAGTTTGATCCCTGGTACCGATAAAAACGAAAAAGACAAAAAATAAATAAATAAAATTTTTTTTTATAAATTTATGGCTTTATGTTTGGTTTGGTTTGGTTTGGTTTTGAGAAAGGGACTCACTATGTAGTCCAGGGCAGCCTTGAATTCACTATGTAGCCCAGGCTGGGCTTGAACCTGCAGCAATCCTCCTGCCTCAGTCTCCTGAGCGTTAGGATTATAGGCATATGCTAGCATGTCTGTTTAAATTTATGTCCCACTAGCAATTATTACCTTTCAAGAGTATTTTGCTTTACCTTCTATATAAATCTCGGCAGAAGTTGAGTCTGTCCCATAGATGTTGGACGCAAAGCAGGAATAGCGTCCTGTGTCTTCCTCAAAGGCTTCAGCGATGGTCAGTGAGTGCAAGTTTCCTGCCTGGACGATCTGAATGTCTGGGGAATTTTCAAGCTCCTTGCCTTCACAATACCACCTACAAGGAAGGAAATACAACCACTGGACACAACTGAAATACAAGCTAATAACATAGATGGTCCCAGATACTTTCTAAGAAGAAAAGAGACTTAATAACAGATGGGGCTCCAGATATTTTCTAAGAAGAATACTGTGACAAATTTAATTTAGAATCAGAACATTAAATAATCCATTGCTACGGTATTATCTATAACAATGAGAAGAACTGGCAGCATGCAAGCCACAGTGACACTTTTCTCAGGAAATTAGAAAGTGACTCTTGTTTAGAATGATAACACCTGATAGGGGATGAGAGAAGGCGCGTAGAGCCACCCACGAAGAGACTTTGCTGTGGAACATGGCTTCTCTTAAATGATTTCCAATGATTTCCTCTACTAGGCATTAAAGCACTAAAGAGACAGAGGAAAGGACTGTGATGGGGTACACACGTTCCCTGCTACAAAACTGCCTCTAACCTAACCTAATGAAAAGGAATTTACTGTTTCTTAAATCACTAAATCACTAGAGTAAAGAGGATGAGTCTTTTACTCCCATGGGTGGCCCAACCCTGGCAAATAACCTACCTTAAATGTATTTTTATTATGATATTTTATTTCAGTTCTATGTACTTGAAGTTAGAAACTTTATTATAGAACAGATTTTTCTTGGCAAAACATTTACAAAAATAATTTTTATAAAGTTGTTTAAAACATAAGAGGTACATAAGAAAAAAATGAACATTAATATTAAGTTAAATGGAAGTTCCATTTTTCTCTTAATACACTGGCAAAAGTCAAAGCATGTTTGTATATTGTTAGTGAGTATGGAAAGTGGCCTAAACTCTATGAAAGGAATCTGCCAATAGTACCAGAACTACAGATATGTTATTCTTGGAGCCAAAAGCCCACTTGTTGGAATCTGTCATACAAACAGACTTGCACACCCCCAAAGTGATCCTTGTACAGGGCTACTCATTAAAATAGCAAAAGATTAGAACTAAGTCAAGTGTCCATCATTAGAGAAGTAATGTAATAAACCACGATACAGCCACACAACATCACACTGCAACTCTAAAACAGAGAGTTAGAAAGATCAACATTTTTTAATATGGAATTTAATATGCAGGTAAACTAACACTATGGTAAAAAATGATATTAACTTTCTGTAAGAAATGGAGTGCTATGGTTTGGATTATGGCTCCCTGAAAAGGTAGGTTGAAGTCCTACCGCCCCCCTATACATGAGAATATGACCTAATTTAGAAATAATAGTCTTTGCAGATGTAAATGAAGCAAAAAGATCATTAGGATGGGCCCTAACCCAGGAGAAGAGGGTCCCTGTAAGAAGATGAAAACCCGTGTGAGACTGAACACCATGTGACGACAGAGGTCAGAGTGACACAGCAGACCCGTGGCCACCACTGGGGACTAGGAAGAGGCGAGGAAGGGTCCCATGCAGAGGCGCAGGTGCCACAGGGCCCAGAGACACTCGATTTCAGCCTTTATCCTCCAGATCCTTTATTCTCTTGTTTTAACTCACACAATTTGTGATCATTTGTTGTGGCAGCTGTAGGAAACAGACACAGGGGGCAAGAAGTAAGATACAGAAAGAAAACTAGAAGAATAACATGAAAATCAAATGTGGCTGCCTCTTGACGAAGGGAAACAAGATAGATAGCAACAGAAGAAAGATGTCTCATGTGCTCCTTCTATCTTTTCCTTTTCTCTGTTTTTTGGTACCAGGGATTGAACTCACAACCTTGAGCTTGCCAGGCAGGTGCTTATGCTGCTGAGCTAAATCTCCAGCCTTTCATTTTTTGAAATAATAATTATTAATCGATATAAGAAAAAGTAATTGAGTGGAGAGGTACCGTAACTATTCAGTGCGGAGAAACTCGGGTAGTTTCAGATCTAACTACTCAGAGCTTAGCTGCTCCTCCCGCCCTCTATAAAGTAAAATTCTAAAGCACATTAGCAAAGCCCACGTGTGCATCTTTCTGTCAAGTGTCTCTCTACTGTTCCATAAGTACGTCACAGTCACCTCCATGTTCTATCTCTGCTCATGTTTCACTGTCTGAAATTCTCTTCCTCTGCCTTTCAGTGACTGTATACAACTCATCCACCCAAACGGGGCTCAGCTATCACCTCTTACACAATGCCACATTTTACCACCGACTCTCAATGATAGCTATGTTTTTTAACCTCACCTTTTTTAAAAAAAAAGAAAATACCTGTACCATGCCATAAAAGATTCAATTTTTATACTGTCTCCTATTGTTCTGTGTTCTGAAAATTTCTGGTTTGCTCTTAATGTGTGCCTTTAAGTAACACGAATTAATGAAAACTGAAAATTTCTCTGGATTCCTCAGTTCCACGAGACTGCCAATTCTTTGACAGGTTGGGCAGGGTTTTAGATGCTCTTGCAGCAGTCACAGGTTGTGAGACACTTCTTCATCCACTCTTTCCTTGAACCCTCTTGCCTCATCTGATAGTTTTGGCCTTCTATGTCTGTGGGACCCACATCTTTGGATTCAACCAACTGTGGAACCCCCCAAAGAACACTTAGGAAAAAAACTGTGTCTGTACTGAATATATACAGACCCACTTGGGCCATTATTTCTGAAATAATATAGCATAACAACTATTAACGTAGCGTCTGTGTTGAGTTAGGTATTGTAAGTTATCTAGAAACGATTTTAAGTATGGGAAGGGCTGGGGATGTAGCTCACTGGCGGAGCTAACATGTGCCAGGCCCTTGCTTCCAATCAGTGCCAACAAAACAAAACCAGAAAAACCCCTGTATTGGGAAGATGTGCACAAGTTATATAAAATAAAAATTTTACATAAGGAACTTGGGCTTCTACAGATTTTAGCATCCAAGGGGAAATCCTGGAGTCCAGCCCCTTGAGATACTGAGGGATGATTGTGTGAACAAGGAAACATTCACTTTCCTCGGCTCGGTTATGAATAATCACACAATAACAGGAAAATAAACATTAAATACTTTTTGAAACTACAGTGTAGATACTGAGGTGACGAAGAAGGGAAGAGTGGGGTGCTGGTTAGTGGAGGGGTGCTAAACCACCGTCCACAGAACAGGAAGTCGCTGGGAAACAGCTGACTTTAGCATACCAGGCAACAGCAGTTTAAGCACCCTATAGTGGTTCTCAGAGTGTGGGTTACTTCTGTGAAAGCCAGTGAGATTATCTGCCCTTTCACTGAGTTGACATTTACACCAGCGGAGCAAAAGTCACAATGGGTACAGTTGCTGGTGCTTTAACAGCACAGATGAAAGCACTGTCATAAACCTGACTGCGTTTTGGACCTTCTGCTGTACTCACAGTAAGAAACCAAATCCAACCAAAAGAAAAAATAATTCCTTAGTGAAACAATAAATATCAGTCCTTTCATTAAATCTCAACCTTGAGTTTATATCTTTTGAGACATCCTGGGTGGTGAGCTGGGAAGAAGGGCAAGCATTTCTGGTGTACATGGAAGAGCACTTGGGGTGAAGGTGGAGCTGTTTCATGTATGAAATAATATTTTAGCGTGAAAGAATAACTGGCAGACAATTAGGATTATTCAGAAATGGGTATTCTGCAGACATTTTCTCAAAACTAAAGGAAGTAAGGCTCTCATTTCTAATAAAAATAAAATATTTGTTGCTAATGGGAAAAATGGACTTTCCAGGAAAAATTAGAAAACTTGTATTCCCTGCTGTGAGTGCAAAACTTCCCAATACTTAAGACTTTTGGAGGAAATAAGTGATCTTTAAAAATGTGATTTTTTTTTGGTGGATACTGTGTAGTACAATGTGATACCTTTTTGAAGATTTGTGTTACACATTTATTCTCCAAATGACCAATGTGGAATGTTACCTACTTTAAGTTCAAGATCGACCCATGCGTGTTGGTATAACAGAAGACAGCAGTCCCTTGCTATGGTTTCAAATTTTAACAGCACAGATGAAAGCACTGTCATAAACCTGACTGCATTTTGGACCTTCTGCTGTACTCACTGCTAGTTGAATGTTGGTGTAATATTAAGTAAGAATTGATCTGAGGAGGTTATTATAATTCTCCTGTTTCTAAATGCATGTGTGTGTAAGGCTGGATTTATTTCATTAACTTCAACCCAAACAATATAGTACAGTGTACAACTGAATGTAAAAGCCCATGTGAGAGTCCAGCAGAATTCTAATCCAAGAGATTTGCAAAAAAATATAAAATAGGGGCTGGAGATTTAGCTCAGCGGCATAAGCACCTGCCTTGCAAGCAGGCAGTCGTGAGCTCGATCCCCGGTACCAATAAAAAGGAAAAAGACAAAAAAAAAAAAAAAAAAAATATATATATATATATATAAAATATTGGTACTCTTTTCATTACCTTTTTTGTCTTGTAAAAGTTATTCCTCCTAGTTATTTATATTATCATACTTATTATTACTTAAAAACAAATTAGTGAACATTTGAAACATTTCTCAGTTTTAATTTTTAATATGATAATTATAACTCAAACAAAACCTCTCTTGGGCTTCCATGGGTTTTGTAGCTGTTAAAGGGGTCCTGAGAATCCAGAGTTTGAAAACCACTATATATATATTATTGAGAAATATAGACGGAAATAAATAGGAAACTGCTAGGAGAGTTGAAAATGATCTGTTGTTTAATACTATTTGACTTTTTGAACAATTCAGTTCTACTTATTTGATAAAACAAGTATAAATGGCTATTTCAAGACCAAGAAATACTTTGCCTCATAAACACTGCAGGATGATTGCAATTTGTTAGCTAAGATTTCTCATCCTTACCTAAACCAGAGGGAATTACCTATGAATAATCAGACCAGCCAGAAGGAGCTAAGTGGGATGATTTGAATGCTTGAACTCTCTGTCAGAAGTGGTTTTTAATCCTCATTCAAATGGGCAGGACAGCTTCAGTGAAGCCAAAGAACAATCGATAACAGCACCTTTGACTTCAACCCCGTAACCCCGAACAGTGGGAGAAACCCTGAGCAGTGTGA